AAGCAGTGTATGATGGAGGAGGTGCTGCTTACTGGATGTCTGTAAAGATCTAGTATAATAGATTCCACGAAGAGAGTCGTGCGGTGTGGGAAGTGGAGGATGTTAGATGGAGTGGATTCCAAGGAGCAAGAAGAGACCATACAGGATACAAGAAATTAGAAGAACCAGTTTCCTTTTATTTTTTTACATACTGAACAAATGTGTTTTCTTTCTTCAATAACAGGTCTGACTTAGCACATTGACTTTGATTAAAAGAAACAGTTTGTTATCAATAAAATTTTCTTACCCTGGTGTTTTTCTTTTACTTCTTCTTTAATTTTTGGTCTCTTCTAGAATTTGGTTAGCCAAGCAGTCTAGCTGCCCTACCATTCGTTGCAGTTGGGCAGCTACCCGCTTCGCCTCTATTACTGTGTTTTTAATTTCTTTTGCTTTTTGTTTTAACCTTTCTTCTTTTCCTTTCAACTCTTTCTCTTCTCTTTCAATTTTCTTTCTCCTCAGTTCAATCTCAGTGGCTGCCAGTCAGCTCCTTACTTCCATTTCTTCTTCCAGGGATAGCTGTAAAAATGAGTAATCCACCTATAATAATCTGTCTATTATTGTTAACTTATCTTACCCCCATCTCTACGATAATAAAATATGATGAGCTCATCCTTTAAAACAAAAAGCATCCTATCTCAACAAACTGTTGAAAGCCTTGTTTCATCAGGTATGGGGAGGGGAGGTGAGGTAGGGTAAACGCAAATAAAAATAGCCATAGGGGAATGGGGCAGGTTTCGGAGAAAAGGCCTGTTTCCATACGTGTTGACATCATTATGGTACCATTCAGCTGAGCCCTATGTGCCTTCTGTTATTTTAAGATGCCTTTTGCTTTCCCAGAAAACCATGAGATTGGGAGTCTTGCCCTATCAGCACTTGGCTGGTGTCACCAGGGGACTTCTGTAAATTATATAAATGAGTTACAGTACTTTCTCATTTCATTTTTGTTTGTATAAAGCTTGTTTCACTCATTTGATATCTTAAAATTTGAGGTACAATCTAGGCTTAATTAATTGTTCTGCACAAATAAAGATATTAATGCAAATGTATATCATCATATCTCTGGAAGTATTCCAAATGTTTCCGCCTTTTATTTGAATGGTACTTAGCTCCTCATACAGACCTGCCAACCCCTAATAAGGAAAATCTGTAGACTCATGAAAAAAAATCGGGAGATTCTACAAAAAGTAGTGAGATTCTATTTTTCCCCGAGCAAAATTAAACTACCCCTTTTCCATTAGTGAAATCAACTGTTTATGTTAATATAACCTTGCTTTAGTGTGGTCCCAAGTATGTAACAAATTAGATGCTGCTTTTTCTTTGATGACTTGAAGAGGCCAGAAAATAGGTTATCACTGTGACGAAACATACAGCAGAGTCATTTCTTTGGGCTAAGACAACTTCATGGCTAAAATAGTCAAAGCTTATCCAGGCACAAGAATTTCCCCACAAAATTTATGTTTTTATTCAACAAGGTAATATTTCAATTTAGAATATTTCCCAGAAAACCATGAGATTGGGAGTCTTGTCGTGAGACCGTGAGAAAAGTTAAAAAATCGTGAGACTCACGGCAGAATTGTGAGAGTTGGCAGGTCTGCCTCATATGACATTTTCTATCGAAACCTGTATGTAGTAGGAAGAAACTTTGTATTAAGGGAAAGTTCATTTAATATGACAAGGGGGGGGATGAAGATATTGAGGGGGGGCTCTGAAAAAATTGTTGCGCTAGGAGGGGGGGCTCCGAAAATTTGTATACTTCAAAACCAACACATGACATCATCATACAGATCGGATGGTTTTCAACTCAACAATTTAATGACCTGTGCAACTCAGCTATATCACGTGGTTTAAAGATATAACAAATGTAGTCTCAGTAATTATTACACTCTTGTTCATCCCAAAAATGCTTTAGAAAATTGTATCACAACTGTATCTCAAGTTTGTCATAGTATAAACCATTGAAGACAATAACGGTAAATATATTTAATACAGTCTAGCGATCTTTTTTCAGGGGAGCAAAGGAATTGAAGGAGGAGGGGGGGGCTCTGAAATTTTTTGACTACCAAGGAGGGGGCTCCTAAAAAATTGAACCGCTAGCGAGGGGGGTGCTAAAATTTCAAGCTTCGAGTTTCAATATCTTCATCCCCCCCCTTGTCATATTAAATGAACTTTCCCTAAGTTGGCACTACAGCATTCTCTGCGGTGTCTGCTAAAATTATACAAGTTTCACTGTACATGTTTGACTCCATTCGCACTAACTATTGATATGGAACGATGTGAAATTGCTTCATGCATAACAGATGTACATGTTTGGAGCTGTATGTAAATCTTATTAATTTTTTTGCTATTTATGAAAACTTAATGTAAGCTTATAGGTATTACAGAGAAATATCCTTTGCTTCAACAATATGTTACAACCTTCAAGTGTTAAAAATATATATATTCCTGGTGTAATTATAATAGATACATAGTGTTGAGGGAAGTCTTTGGTTTATTTTTTCTTAAAACCGAAAAATAATTGACTCACATTGTGCCGGGGTAACCGAGTCGAGGTCATCTGTTTATATCAATATTAAGCGCACTCGAATGGACTGATCATTTTTACTGCTAATTTCTCCCATTAAACATCAAGGACAATGTTTTCCACTATCGCTGATCTACCCTTCTGCCAAGTTTCGAATTTCCACACCAAACCGATTTTCTAAGACATGCGATGTTAATATGCGATCATGCAAATTTCTGCGACAAATATTCCACTTGAAAAAATTGGCTTAAACTGTTTAGACTGTTTACGAGGTAATTATCATCAGAATATAATACAATTAACTCTCCTTCTCGGAAAGAGCTGTTGCAACTATACTTTCCCTCTATCAGAAACTACTTTAAAATTTACTTATCCCGAAAAGACAGCTTGAATAGGTGATACTATTGGCATTATTGGAGATAACAGCAAAGTAATGAATACAGTCTGAATACCATTGCATCAGCTTAGAGGCTACGCTGGCACACTCGAATGGACTGATCATTTTTTCTGCAAGTTTATCTCAATTAACTTCAGAGACAATGTTTTCCAATATAAGTAACCCACCCTTATGCCAAGTTTCGATGTTCAACACCTCACCGATTTCGAGAAAATGCGATATTACTGTGCGAACATGCAAACTTTTGCGGCACATTATTCCACTCGACGAAATTGACCGAAACTGTTTACAGCTCTCATACGCGTTATTTTTCGGATTAATACACATTTCACTCACCTTTTCGGAAAGAGATGTTGGAACTGCACTATCCTACCGTGACAAAAACCATTTTGGAGCGTCAATATCCAGGAAAACCAACTTTAAAAGTAACATTTGGAAATGACAACGGCGCCATTTTCGAAAACTCCTCGAAGTTGCGCGCTTCTCTCTTCGTGACGTCACGATGGCCAAGATCGTCCGGACAAACAAACTACCAAGTTCACCACCCCCCCTGAACCAATGAGCGTGAGCGAAAAAGAAAGGTCCGCTGACCAGCACTTCTCTTCTTACTAGGACCCATTCTTTCTTGTCCCGTATGTCATACAGTAAACACCCGCATTTTCGGAGGTCAGGCTGATTGAGTTCTTATTTATCGGGTGCTTAATGACAAATTAGCCTCAAAATGTTCTCAAATTATTATTTAGTAATACTATCCAAAACATGTTGCTAGAGGTATATTAGTAGTGGATAAGGCACCGGTTACTCCTTTTCTTTGTGGATTTAATTAACTTTTTGAGTGGTATAAATTAACGCAGATGACGTCATGCATCTCATTAAGATAGGATGATGTCATACTTTAAATTAATGCCCATGACGTCACGCATCTCAATAAGATAGGATGATGTCATAGGTTATTTTTAGCTGGCTGACGTCATATACTTCTTTGAGATAGGATGATGTCATCGTTTATTTGTAGCTGGCAAGGAGCAAGTGACGTCAGAATTTCCTAGAGTTGACGTCATCAAAATATGTTGAGATCACAATCTTTAAACAGAAAAGTGATTTTTATATAATTAGCTATTTGCTACAGTCTTCTGATTAGATATTGTTTGCTATAGTCTTCTGATTGGATATTGTAGAAACTGTCATGTGTTCAAAATAAAAGCGGGCAAATTTTGAACATGTTGTCTTTGCAGGTTATACTAAATGAAAAATCTTTAATCATTAAATTATTTTCACTAAAAATCGGTTATAAACAAAACCAAGACACGGAGGTTAACTGAAAAATCTTTACTTCAAAAGAAGGGAAAAGGAGGTTAAGCGAATGCGAAATCGTACTAATTTTTCAGGCAAAACATGAAAACGAGGTCGAAGCTCAGCGAAGCGAAAAATTGCCTATCAAGCAAAAATGTCAATCTTTGTTTACTTGACTCTGTAGAAAGTATTGGACGGGGTATGAAAATTCTATAGAAAACAACAGGTGGTTCTTAAATCAACTCCATTCTTGTTCCTAATGAGTGGAAAGTCTATTTATAAAAAGAGGGAATAAGAGATGCGATCCCCTAGTAACACATGTCTTCTTATTTAGCGCTAAATATCGGATATATAACAAAACACACACACACATACAAAAAGTGGAGCTGAAAACTCTCTATTTCAATTTTGACTCACCATTACGAAAGCGTTTTCTCCGTTCCATCTCGAGGAAACGATTAACTATTGAAATCTCAGCGCTTGATGAGCTTATGGTCTTGTCAATTCACGCGCCGTTAGCGTTAGTCAGTTAATTATGCCGGTTAACAAGCCCAAAGTCGAATACAAATTAGTTCATCTCTACAGCTAGACCCAAGGGAGCACTCTGACTTATTATTGTAAAAACACAACTAGGATCAATTTAAACACGCGACAAATAAATTGACAAGACACGAGATACAGTTTTAAAAACTTTATTGAAAACCAGTGACACAAAGAGTCGAATACACAGCGATTTGGAAGGGATGGAAATTAGACCTCCTCTTCGTTCTCCTCCTTAGAAGGTGAATAAAAATTGGTTTCCAACGTCTTGGCGTTTTTGTGTGTAATTAATCCACAATCGTGACACCGAAGAAAGCCCTCTTTGATGTATTTTCTCTCCTCGGGGATCTGGTGATCGCATATAGGACAAATCTTGTAGTTATCGTGCCAAAAGCATTTAGGACATTTCATGATCAATGTGGAGTACACATTAGAGTTTTCGCAATGTCCACAGGGACTTTTAGAGTGAAAGGTGGTGGACGTTTCAGGGCTGCTACTTTCTGCTTCCTCACTATCGTTTTCAGTGTCGTTGTCGCTCTCTTGGGTGCCTTCAGTTTCAACGCCATTCTCAGAAGCCACTTCCTCCTCCTCCTCCTGATTTTCAATATCCGATGAACTCTCCTCATTATTACTCTCATTATCGGAAGTATTTTCTACATTTCGGTAGCCTTTTTCCTTTTCTATTGGTTTCCAACGTCTTGGCGTTTTTGTGTGTAATTAATCCACAATCGTGACACCGAAGAAAGCCCTCTTTGATGTATTTTCTCTCCTCGGGGATCTGGTGATCGCATATAGGACAAATCTTGTAGTTATCGTGCCAAAAGCATTTAGGACATTTCACGATCAATGTGGAGTACACATTAGAGTTTTCGCAATGTCCACAGGGACTTTTAGAGTGAAAGGTGGTGGACGTTTCAGGGCTGCTACTTTCTGCTTCCTCACTATCGTTTTCAGTGTCGTTGTCGCTCTCTTGGGTGCCTTCAGTTTCAACGCCATTCTCAGAAGCCACTTCCTCCTCCTCTTCCTGATTTTCAATATCCGATGAACTCTCCTCATTATTACTCTCATTATCGGAAGTATTTTCTACATTTCGGTAGCCTTTTTCCTTTTCTATTAAATCACTTAACAACTTTTTGTTTTTGATTAAACCTTTATCGATTCCTAACTCTGCAAGTCCATCTAGAAACGTATTCAGCGCACGAGGCTTGGGAACCTCATTGTTATGAGGGAGTAACACATACTCAAGCAGCTCGGCGATGTTTGTGACGGGAATTATACGTTTATTTCGAAGTAATTGTCCGCGGGGAGTCCAGAATAAAAGATCTTTGGACGCTGCCATACTATGCAGCAAATCAGAAGCACGCTTTACCGACACTGCTCGGGAAAGATGACTCAAAACATCTTTTATTCTTGGTTCTTCATCCTCGCTTTCATCACTACAACTTTCGTTTCCTTCATCCTCGCTCTCGTGCTCTTTATCAACCAAGTCTATCTTTCTCTTCATCGCGATAGGTACAGGTTGAACGTAGGTTTCAACTGAGTAACCTATAGTTTCGTTTCCTCTTTTATAGCATCAAAAATCCTAAGCTTGTAACAGCAGGTAGCAATAGGTCTTGAATAAAACCATCACCCTCTTGTACAAGGATTCGCTTCTTTGTTTTGTAAGGGACATTTGTTTCTGCTAGGTTTACTAGAGCATCCTTATATGGCAACACGTTCCGCTTATTTTCTTCGGGGATAAGAATGTATTCCTTAAGTATATTGTATAAGACTTGGACTAATGCATGTAGTTGTTGTGGACTGGCTGTCCGTAAAAGAAACTGTCGCTGATGAGCTGGACAAATAGCTAAGAGTTGAAGAAAACCACAATTGTTCTTGGCAACTCGAGACATTGCGACAAACTGAATTTATCATTGTAGTTTGCAGTCTTTTATTGACTGTCGTGGAGAAAAACAATGGAAATGTGGTGGCGGTGGAGGGTAAACAATAGAAATGTGGTGGCGGTGGTGGTGGTGGTGGAGGGAAAACAATAGAAATGTGGTGGCGGTGGTGGAGGGAAAACAATAGAAATGTGGTGGCGGTGGTGGAGGGTAAACAAAAGAAATGTGGTGGCGGTGGTGGTGGTGGTGGTGGTGGTGGTGGAGGAAAAACAATAGAAATGTGGTGGCGGTGGTGGTGGGGGTGGTGGAGGGAAAACAATAGGAAAGTGGTGGTGGTGGAGGAAAACTATTGAATTGTATAGCCTTCAAAACTATATCAATGCGCATTATGCTAGCATTTTCTCAGTCTACATTCTGCTCCTGAGGAGCTGACATGAGTTGGTTCTGTTCCGTTTGCGAAAAATCCTTTAGTAGAAAGGATAACATGCAAAGGAAGGTGATGTCTAAACACCGCAATGCTGGTCTCACACCATTTCAAACAGTTCCAATATTTTGACAGAAATGTCAGCGGTTTCGCTTCGAGCACCCTTTCACCTCCATGATTGCCGGAATGACCGGGTCGGGAAAAACGGCCTGGGTTCGATCGCTATTGCAACAAGCTTCAGAGACAATTTACCCACCCCCGGAGAGGATCGTTTGGTGTTATTCACAATAGCAGCCTGCGTATACACAAATGTTAATCGCCATGCCAAACATTGAATTCGTCAAGGGAATTCCTAGGGCTTTGGAGCAGGATTCCTATTTTGACGTGAACAAACGGAATTTGATCGTGTTTGATGATCAGATGATTGACGCCAGTAAAGACAAGCGAATTGTGAACCTCTTTACTCGTGGTTCTCATCATCGCAATCTGAGCGTGATTTATATCGTGCAGAATCTATTTCATCAGGGGAAAGGTAGCCGCAGCATAAGCCTAAACAACCATTATCTGGTGTTATTCAAGAATCCACGAGACAAATTGCAAATCCTGACTCTGGCGAAGCAAATGTATCCCAGGCAGACTGATTTCTTTTTAAATCAGTACGAAGAGGCTGTAAAAAGACCTTTTGGTTATCTTCTGATTGATCTGAAAACTACTACCCAAGATAATTGTCGGTTGCGAACAAACGTCCTACCCAGTGAAGAAGGCTTTAACCAAGCAGGGTTTCAGGAAAATATTCCTCAAGAGCTTCTAAAATATCTGAAGCAGCAAACTCTTTCGCCTGTCCCACTTCTTCCAGCTATGCAAGAAATACAGGGCAACATGGATGACGTGCTTTCTCGAAACGATCTTCGGGACGATGAAAAAGCTAAACGATACTTTCAGTTGCAAAACAGATACCTGGCTTTTACAGAACAATTAAATACAAGAACACGACCGGAAGAAATAATCAGCACTGTTCCAGACTTAACATCAAGGACACAAGATTCTTCGACAGCAACGACAGCATTCTCGACTCCCCTCAACCCCGTTAATGTAACACCTGAATTAACACAAGCGGCTATCTCTCAAAAACCTGACAAAGAAAGCCTCACCCCTCCACCACCCTTAAATCCTGCTTTCCTGACCCCTCCTCCCACAGTAGAAACCCCATCACCACAAGGCCCGAAGCGCAAGAGGCGTCGGATTCAATTTCTAAATTATTTGGATGATCATAAATCTCATGGCAAACAGCTGAAGAAACGTCGGCATAAGAAATTTCGAGTTAGACCTTACAAGTACTCCATGGGCGAAGAAGATGATTAATTTCCATCCCTTCCAAATCGCTGTTTATTTGACTCTTTGTGTCACTGGTTTTCAATAAAGTTTTTAAAACTGTATCTCGTGTCTTGTCAATTTATTTGGCGCGTGTTTAAATTGATCCTAGTTGTGTTTTTACAATAATAAGTCAGAGTGCTCCCTTGGGTCTAGCTGTAGAGATGAACTAATTTGTATTCGACTTTGGGCTTGTTAACCGGCATAATTAACTGACTAACGCTAACGGCGCGTGAATTGACAAGACCATAAGCTCATCAAGCGCTGAGATTTCAATAGTTAATCGTTTCCTCGAGATGGAACGGAGAAAACGCTTTCGTAATGGTGAGTCAAAATTGAAATAGAGAGTTTTCAGCTCCACTTTTTGTATGTGTGTGTGTGTTTTGTTATATATCCGATATTTAGCGCTAAATAAGAAGACATGTGTTACTAGGGGATCGCATCTCTTATTCCCTCTTTTTATAAATAGACTTTCCACTCATTAGGAACAAGAATGGAGTTGATTTAAGAACCAAAAGAGCTAGGGTTTGACTTTAGAACCACCTGTTGTTTTCTATAGAATTTTCATACCCTGTGCAATACTTTCTACAGAGTCAAGTAAACAAAGATTGACATTTTTGCTTGATAGGCAGTTTTCGCTTCGCTGAGCTTCGACCTCGTTTTCATGTTTTGCCTGAAAAATTAGTACGATTTCGCATTCGCTTAACCTCCTTTTCCCTTCTTTTGAAGTAAAGATTTTTCAGTTAACCTCCGTGTCTTGGTTTTGTTTATAACCGATTTTTAGTGAAAATAATTTAATGATTAAAGATTTTTCATTTAGTATAACCTGCAAAGACAACATGTTCAAAATTTGCCCGCTTTTATTTTGAACACATGACAGTTTCTACAATATCCAATCAGAAGACTATAGCAAACAATATCTAATCAGAAGACTGTAGCAAATAGCTAATTATATAAAAATCACTTTTCTGTTTCAAGATTGTGATCTCAACATTTTTTGATGACGTCAACTCTAGGAAATTCTGACGTCACTTGCTCCTTGCCAGCTACAAATAAACGATGACATCATCCTATCTCAAAGAAGTATATGACGTCAGCCAGCTAAAAATAACCTATGACATCATCCTATCTTATTGAGATGCGTGACGTCATGGGCATTAATTTAAAGTATGACATCATCCTATCTTAATGAGATGCATGACGTCATCTGCGTTAATTTATACCACTCAAAAAGTTAATTAAATCCACAAAGAAAAGGAGTAACCGGTGCCTTATCCACTACTACTTATATTTAGCATATTTTAGGAAAGTAAAATAAATAATTATTCTGTAATTTGATTATATTAACAAATGAAGTTATCTGACAGCAAACATAAACTTACATGTTTTGTAATTATGACACTTTTTCCAATTTATAAGAACATGTTACAATTTTCAGGCTGATCTTGTTCTTATAAAAATGGGGCTTTGTTGGACAAATTTCTTAATCCATTTGTTCTTATATGTGGGTGTTTACTGTAGTACTGATTGCGATAAATCTAGCAAATATCGACAGCTGTGTATTCTCCGCAATTTTTCACAGATTTTACATATAACGTAAACGCGAGTGAATACACAACCGTTTACAAAGTAGCCCGATCTCAAGAGTAAATAAAATTTACCGTTATTCACCTTGATAGGTCGCAAAGGCAAAATTTCTGAAACATTGATCATGCGATCTTGGACATGGGTTAAAAAAAAAGAAGAAAAAAACGGAAACAAAGAAGAACGGAAATGTGATGACAGAAATGTGACAGAAACGTGATCGTTCGCCTTCCAACGCGGAAACATAGCCTGTTCCAGGCGTTCGGATAGTGGAGTGTGGCGCGAAAGGAAGAGAGCGAGAAAAAATCTGATGGTGGAAAAGAGGGAGAGGGAGAGAGTAAGGAACGCCTGTGAGATTTGTTTTCAAAAGGTCATTCCGCCCACTTTGTCGACCAGTAATCCGAACGTAGTTTCCGGTGTTAAAAGTTGTCAATCAAGCAACGGGCGACAAACCGCACTGTTTACTGAATTAAAAAAAGATATGCCTATATTCATCTTTTATATTTGTTTTCTGCAAACGAATAAATCCCTTACCTCCAAAAATGAAAGAACTGGCAAGCATTACTCGTTCTACTTTCTCTACTAGCTGCTGTCGGTTTTTGTTAGCTTTTGTTGTTATTATTGAAATGCTGTTTGAATTTGTTTGTCAGTAAATGCCTCAACGCGTAGCCTTGGAAGACGTGTTAAAAGGATAGAGATCTCAAAAGTACGTCCCGAGACTAGCGCATTTGTTCTTTTTCACAAATATCAGCTTTCAAAATATTCACTCACAGGTGAATGTTTCGACCGCCAGCTTTCAGGAATTTCAGGGCTAAAGAAGCTGCATTTTCTTCTCTTCTATACATTCAATGCCAATTCGTCCACGCTTTCCTACTATTGTTGTAGCGACTCCAACTCTGTTAAACTGTTGTACTTGAGTAGCCGCTAAGGCGAAACGTCTCTAGCGGCGAAGAACAAGGCCAAATAAAAGTGAAACGGCTGTATTCGCAGGCTGAACACAGACTCATATCGATCAAAAGAAGGTTCATGCGCGTTTTTAATATTCCTGAAGAGAACTGAAAGGAAAGAGCTCGTTTAAAAGCTTCAGAAGGTGTTACAAGTCTTATTCCCTCAAAAAAAGATGAAATAGAAAAATCCATAAACTGGATCTGTTTGCCGAATGAATTTTTGCATTGTGTGCGTGTGGGAATTTGAAAACTATATCACTGCTCCGAGTAACTGTACATATAACAACAACAACACCAA